GAAACAGCTAGTTTGTGGCTTAACTATATAATAACAGTAACAATACAAGTAATTCAGTGCTAAGGGTTATTACAAAAAAGAGCTTTATGGAGTGGCAATTCGGAATGAGTAAATTATGAGTAATTGGTTACTGTTGCCCCTCCCCTTTCCTGCCATTTCTCTGCTCAGGATAATAAAGGTATGCTTGAAACTGGGATCACTAGGGGGGAAATGACTTGTGTGGGTGGTGGTTTGGGTGCAGGGTGGAAAAAGAATTGAGCCACCCATTCCCAGCCATTTCTTTGCTCCAGACTTCCCACAGCAAGATGTTTTTTGCTTTAAAAGAAAATGGCATCTGAGTGTTCTGTTACATACTATTGCAATGGGACGTTGACCCTCTTGGCTAACATTGACTGATATTCCTATCCCCTTTGAACTTGGCCATGTCCTTTTTTGAAGCTCAGTATAGGGGTCCACAAATTCTAACACCCCTTAGTAACTAGCCAACATTTGCAAGTAACCATGCCCATTCCTTGAGGTGCAGGTTCTTCTCTCTGACATCCTGCTGAGGTATGTTGGATACCTCTGAGGCCCAGCAAAGCTGTGGGGTCAATGCCTCCCCTCAGGTCCAAGGGTCATAGGGGTCATCCTTGTCATGTTGAGCCTCCCAGATGTTCAGAAAGCAATGAAGTGTCTCACAGATTTTGGAGTTTCTCTGAAGTCAGTCAGGACTTGCTCTTCTCATTGCTTGATATGATGCTTCCTTTGATAGTCTTGGAAATGTTTCCAGATATTTCAGTCCTGTTCTCTTCTCTGCATATCCAGACCCATCTTTTCTTTCTCTTCAAGATGGTATATGGAATTATTTAAGGTGCAATCAGCGACTACAATAAAATACCACATTTAAGACACATCAATTAAATTATATAAAATAGGGAGGGAGGATTCCTAATTTATCAGTAAAAGGAATACATGGAAGAATGATGCTGATGTTCCCCCCAGGGGCACTGTGCTGTCTCCTCAGTCCATTCTTCCAGCCATTCCCCACCCCCACCCCCTTCTCAGATCAGTTCTGGTTTTGGAGTCAAGAATGGAGAAAGATGACTGGAGCAACCAATTGCAAGGAGATTTGGCCAGTTCAGTTCCATCCTCCAGTGTGCTCTTTTTACAGTTGAAGTAAGACCCCCCCTCTCATTTTGTCTTTGAAAGGGGGAAATACATGAACTATGTTATCCACATGTAATTCCACCCTCATCTATCTTGACTGCTACCAGTTAATTCCTCCTAGTTTATAGCCTACCCTTCTTCTGTTGTGGAATCCAAGGGGATGTGTGTGGTTTTCCCCTGGAGATCTTCCATCAAGGCACTGGCCCAGGCTTGCTTAGACTTCTGCAAGTCTGTTGTATTGTGTGCCTTCCCATCCAACTGTACCCCGGGACACATCCTTGCAGCTACTTTGTCAGGTTCTGCCCTCTTCCTTTTGTCTTGCCAGTACCTATTAGAGCAAGTTTGTGCCATTTCAGTTTTGTACACTGATGTGTATGATCTATTGTTATTGTGATAAATGTTAAATACTAACAATTGTTGCAGTAGTCAAGGACAAATGGCTAACAAAGTAGAACTCTCTTAACACAAACCTGTTGTCCACGTCATCTGTGTTCGCTTTCTTTATTACTATTGTTTTCTCCTACATAGTCTCAGCTTCTTTATGGAAGTAGTTGTGTATCTTAGATGACTTCCCAGACCTAGACCTGAAGTCATCACATCCAAACAATCTCTTCTTAAAGTATTGCATACTTAACACCGGGAGGGAAATGTTGACGCAAAGCTTGATTATTCTGTGGTTTTCATTCATTTTGGTCAGATATCCCCCCCCCCTTCAAGTTAATATTTCATCTCTCTTTTCCCCCTGATTTATAATCTTAGGGTATATTTTCTCTTCCTTCCCTGCTCAGAGCGTCTCATTTAAGCACAGTTGACTTCAAGATCTGCATGGTTGGCGAATTTTTGAGACTACAAAGGTGTCTTGCTGGGCTAGCAGCGGAGTCCCTCCTTGGCTGTTTCGAAGGACTTGGCAAAGAGTACTTTACAATTAACCTTTCCTCTCTTCTTTTTTAAGTTTCACTCCTGCTTTCCATGTACTTGTGTTTTTCCCTCTCCTGCTGAAAAGGCCACTTTGTTTCTCTGCTAAGATTTGCTGCTGGCTCAAAGTATATTGATACTTCACCACAAAAGAGAGACTAGGAGAAGACGCTAAGAACAAACGTGGTGCTTTAGAGTTATGCAAGAGAATGTTGTGCCTAAAACAATATATGTGTCTGAGGGAAGCAATGTGACAGGAATCTTTTCTTCACCTGAGGTAATGTACAGACACTAATGCCTCTGGCAGTTCTCTTGTTTTCAAATACGGACAGAGACATTATGTTCATTACATCTTTTGCTTGAGAAACATAATATAACATCAAATGTAATGTGAATAGCTTTGTTCCTGGACCCTGCATAAAGGAATGTAAAATGGTTGTGCAAAACCACATCATTTACTGTCCTTCAGATGTTCAAATTATTCACAAGGCTGATGTGGTGTGGCCACTGCTGGTATTGGAGAGAAATCTCATTGGTCCCTGCAATTCTTTTCTTTGGTGTAACCCAACGAAAGGAGCATTGGGAGTTGAAACTGAGATTTAGTGGCTCAAGTCATTCTGTGCAAACTTGGCCAGGCTGCTAGCACTAAGTGTCACAGTGTGATCCTAAACAGAGAAGCAGCCATTTGGACAGAAGTTTTCTTGGAATGGTTTGTATGTTTGGGAGTTGAACGAAAACTGGTTTTTGTCTTGCCGTGGTTTGCGCTAACCAGCTCTGAGACTGATGGGCACTAGGAGAGCTTCAGGCTGTGAACACAGTTCTGCCCTCACTGAAGCCAGAGCTGCCGAATCTTCTTGAGCAGTGGACTTCTGTAAATAAAATAAGCAGTCCGTAATAAATGGATTTAAATTGGTCACAGCGCATGACATCTCTGTAGGTTTATGCTGCTTTTATGCCCCGTTTCTCTTGTTTTTATTGGCTGGACTTGTTTTGTTTGTTTGTTGTTGTTTTTTACTTGTTGGTATTGTCTTATTGTTTTTGCTGTGAGCCACTTCACCCAGGGTCTAGCAAGATGGCATACAAATTTTCTAAATAAATAAAACCAAGCCATGGGGATTGATGTCTTCAATCAGATGCCATGTAGCACAAATTACATGATGTCAGGCACACTCTCCAGATATCCAAACATGTGTCAGATGGATCATATGTACCACAGTGGGACAATAATCATGATTCTAGAATAGAAATTTGTTTAAGTTGCTGGAATAAGACCTTTCCATTAACACTGATGGATGCTAATAGACTGAAAATCTGTAGTTCGTATTAAAACCCACCTTTTAGTGGAAGAGAGGAGTTCAATGTAAGCCATGTTGGGTTCCTACTGAGGATGAAGGCAAGAGATAAATAAATATTGCATAAGTGGAGCAAATGCATGTTATTAACTAGTAGAGTCAGGAAGCTGCAGACATGTATTATGGGAAGCAACTGCAGAGTATGATCTTAGAGACTGTTTCATGAGAAAGCAAGCCAGACTGAGGGTGTTCCTCAAGCATGCCAGGCTAAAGCAAAATGAGAACCCTGGCAGAATCATGCTTCACACCCTGGTGAAATTTGACTTACAATATGGATGCAGTCCCAAAGGGTGTGTGTGAGTGGATTGCTCTTTAGCATTTAAATGTATTCAATTGTGGAATATTTTATAATTTAGCATTCTGATTGCAAACTTCTATAAGTTGGGGAAGTCAGACTGTGATACCTTCATCCTCTCCATCCATTTTTGTAGGAAACAGTGACAATATCTAGGTTTAAGGCAGGTATTGTACATTGTATATTTTGTAACTCAGGAAGACATAAGCAAGCTACATCTGCAAAGCCATCTCAGACTTCGCAATGAGAAGACGCTGCAGTGAATTGTGGTTACAGTGCGGTGTTTAAAGCCTTGGGGGAAAATGAAAACAGCCACATGAGGGAAAAAACTGAGAACATAGATAATACTAATGCACGCTGTGGTTGTGACTACTTGATGTTGGAACCAAAAGGAATATTTGATCATACCAGTTATTTTCTGTTCCAACAACCAAAGCTTTTCCTTCTTAGAACTACTTGTGTTCAGTTTCATTCCATGTTTTATGAAACACTCGCCTTTATTTTTTTAAATCTCTTCTTCACTCCTGTGAAAAGGAAGAGTATTTTAACTTGGGGCTACTGTGCAGACACACTTGGGATGCTTTAAGCATACAGCAAAAATTGTGTGAAAACAACAAAGCCGTGTTTGCTATGACACGATCCTTAGATCGGCTGCAGCTTCTTGTGGAGTGTACACTCAAATGGTCAACCCAGGTTTGCAAACCTAGTGTGTAAATAAAGTATTTGTACCAGCTCAGTTTGTTTCTGTCACTACTGATTTTGCCGTTCTTGTTTGCTCAATGTACAGCAGGGAAGAATATTTCCAGTATGGCAACCAGACCTGCTCCTGGCAAAATGGAATGGATCATTCCCCTCATCGTAGTCTCAGCCTTGACATTTGTGTGCCTCATACTTCTAATTGCTGTGCTAGTTTATTGGAGGTGAGTCTTTCCCTTTCTTTTCAATTCTTAATTGTATTACTTTAAAGATTCTCATGATGGTCAGCTTTCATTTTCTTAATGCTCATTGAGTTGTGATGACAGATGCACTAGGTGTGCCTTTGATAACTGCTGTTTCAGTTACTGGCTTTTGCATGTAGAAAATGGGAGGGATCGTAGATCAATACTATTGTGTGTATTCTGTATGTATGAGATTCCTGGCTTAATCCCAGCACCTCTGGTTAAAGTATCTCAGAGACCTTGGCTCTCCCTGAGACCTTGGGACCTACTGCTAGATAAACCATTAATCTGATTTGATGTGTGATGGTTTCATATGGAATTACTGTGAGCTGTGTAGCCAGATCTTCTTGCGCTGTGGTCAGACTGTTTCACCAAACAGCTAGATATCCTTGACTTCACTGGTGTTCCCTTCAGGAAAGATTAACTATCCAGTGTTCTTAGACTTTTAATGCTGAATTCAATATCAGCAGTGCTGTAAATGACTTGTATGATGTGCTGCGATTTGAAACCCACTTTCCTGCTTCCAAGTAAATGTAGTTAGAACTGTGGTGCAATTTTTGTGTTCTAAAATTCTGCAGCCCTAAATCGGAGTATACCACTATAACTACTAAAACAGTTAAGCATTGCCAAATTGTATAGTTTATACATACATTTGGCCACATTTTGCCACCCTGTGACAGAGGGAGAAATAGATTCCTGTATTCTTCCCCAGAGTAGATTTAAGGGGAACAAAGATGGAATGAGATTGTGTGAATCAAACTATGTCCAGGTGCACATGTGAACTGATTCTATTAAGGTTTGAGTTGGGAATGTAACATTCACAGAGATATATAATGTAACAAATGTAGAAACAATAAGCAAATCATATAGGAGCTTGTAAATGTAAAGAGCAAGATTATAATAGAATAAAGGAAGCTCAATGGTAGCTTCTTTTGAATGTTGATCCTGTCTAAGCTGCTTTTTTCCATTGGCTATGGGAAACTGACTGATACCCATTCTATGAATTGACACCTGCTCAAACAGGGATGGGGCTGCTTTCTGATAAGGTGGAATAATGCCGCCAACACAATGGCCAATTTTTTTCACATAAAGAAGGAATTTAATGGAAGTTATAAATACTAAGTTAAGTGCAATAAAACATGATCACTTAGAACTACACAATAATATAAGATACAAAGGTGACATCTGCCCAACAGTAAGATGCATCACAGAGAAAACAATAAATTGTTATAAAGGATTCATAAGGGTTCAGTAGTGCAACTATTGCACATTTAACCACTCAGACACAAACTGACACATGTGAAAAACAGGTCACAGTTACAGTTAGAGAGGGGATAGAGGGGTTTTATCATTGGGGTATGGATATTTGATTTGTTAGTGGCTGTGTTGTCCTATTGGTATTGAATGTAATTGTTATCCCACCCTTGATCATTGATTAACCTGTTGATTATTTGATGAAATTGACGAATGAATTTGGTAGCCCTATAATGATGTTTGTTAATTGATTGGGTTGTTATTTAAATTATATATTAAATGATAGGCGGTTCCAGTGTTGGGTAAATTGGCCATAGGGAGTGAGTGAGGGGGGAATAAGAGGATATAATAAAATAAGTAAATAGGCTTCAAAGGCTACTGGATTTACTAGGTGGAGATTGTAGTTGGGGATTGCATCAAATTGGTTTCAAGTTAGGATTTTTACCTAAGTTAGAGATATTGACGAACAAAGTTGCCCTGTTGTACATGCTATTATAATTGCCAACATTGTTAGACAATTTAGAATCGTAGCACCAGGAGCCGATACTGCGTTCGGCTTGGAGAGGAGGAATTAGCCTGATTAGTTGAGACCAGTGGTCTGATGGCACCGCGGAGACCGGCTGGGGAAGCTATGGTTGAGCAACATATTCCGGTGCTCTTGGGGAGGGGAAAAGTTTAGCGGTGGGTCTAGGCAGAAGGTCAAGGGAAGGGTGTTGAGAAAAAGAAGGGCTCGGCACCCTTCCAGCCTACAACCCATCCCGAAGGAGGTCTGCAGTGGGGCTAGGTTGAAGTACCCCCTTCCCTCATTGGTGTTGTGTAATGCCAGGTCCATCAACAATAAGATGACAGTCCTTCGGGACTTCGTCATGGAACAACAGGTGGACCTGGCATGCATGACTGAGACCTGGGTGCGGGACGGGGAGACAGTAGCTCTCTCCCAACTTGCCCCAACCGGGTTCTCGGTCCTACATCAATCGCAGACCAAGGGGCGGGGGGGAGGTGTGGTGATTTTTATTCGGGAGGCTTTCTCCTTCAGGGCGCTCCCCCCACTGGAGATCACGTGCATGGAGTGTGTCGGCTTCGTGCTGGGGACTGTGGAGAGTTTGGCGATCTGGCTAGTGTACCTACTGGAGACCGTATCAGGCTGGGCGCTGAAGCACCCTAGGCTTTTGGTCTTGGGTGACTTCAGCGTCCATGCCGATGATGCTTCCAGCCAGGCTGCGGACCTGGTTTCGTCTATGGCGGCACTGGGACTCTCTCAATGTGTAGCGATCCCCACACACCAGGCCGGGCACACGCTCGATTTGATCTTCATGGCAGGGATTATAGTGGACCAGATTACTGCAGTGGCAGTACCATGGTCGGACCACTTTACCCTGAAGGCTCGTCTGAATGTCCCACCCCAAACCTGTTTAGGTGGCGAGCAGATTTTAGCTCACCCGCGGAACCAAATGGATGCTGTTCGGCTTCAGATGGCTCTGCGGGATCCAATGCCCCCTGGCGGCTCATTGGATGAGCTTGTGGAGGACTGGTATGACCGACTCTCCACAGCCATCGATGAGATCGCTTCCAAGCGCCCTCTGCGCTATCGCTCTAGGCTGGCCCCTTGGTATACCCAGGGGTTGCGGCTCATGAAACGAGAGCTAAGATGGCTAGAGAGATAGTGGCGGCGTGCTTGCGATGAAGCATCAAGAACATCCTATAGGACGTTTATGAGATCCTATGAGATGGCAGTCAAGGCTGCTAAGAGGAAGTTCTATGCAGCCAGAATTGCATCTGCGAGCTCATGCCCAGCCCAATTATTTAGAACAATTCGGTCTTTCACAGCTCTGCCCCATGGCAGACAAAACAGTAGGGAATTGGATATTGGCTGTGAGGCTTTTGCGAGCTATTTTGCAGATAAAGTCTTGACACTCCGCCGTGACCTCCCTGCCACAATTGAAACAGTGAGCGAACTTGAGGCCCCTTGCGCGCCTTCGCAGGGTTTAGAATGTTTTGACCTGCTCAGTCTGGAGGAAGTTGACAGACTGCTCATATCTGTGCCCCAACCACGTGCCATCTTGATCCGTGCCCTTCCTGGCTCATTAAAGCGGGCCATGAGGGGTTTCAAGGTGCCGTAAGGGAGGTTATCAACAAGTCCTTCCTGGAGGGACGGTTCCCTGAGGCACTCAAGGAGGCGATGGTCCGTCCTCTCCTGAAAAAACCAACTTTGGACCCAGCTGGATTGGCCAACTATCGGCCGGTGTCCAATTTGCCCTATTTGGGCAAATTGATTAAGAGGGCGGTGGCGACACAGCTTCAGAGCTTTCTGGATTATGCTTCTGTCCTGGATCCATTCCAGTCCGGCTTTCACCCAGGTCATGGGACGGAGACAGTGCTGGTCGCCCTGACTGATGACCTTCGGAGGCATCTGGATCGAGACGGTGTGGCGGCACTGTTGTTGTTAGATCTGTCGGCCGTGTTTGACATGGTTGACCACCAGTTGCTGACCCACTGCCTCACCGACGTGGGGATACAGAGGCTCGCTCTTCAATGGCTTGCCTCTTTTCTCCAAGGTCGGGGACAGAGGGTGGCGATAGGGGAACAGCAATCCCGGAGGCACCCACTTCAATGTGGTGTGCCTCAGGGGGAAGTGCTTTCCCCGATGTTGTTTAACATCTACATGCGCCCCCTCGCCCAGATTGCCAGGAGGTTTGGGCTGGGTTGCCATCAATATGCTGATGACACCCAGCTCTATCTGATGTTGGGCGGCCGGTTGGGCTCCGACCCAGAAGACCTGAACCAGGCACTACAGGACGTGGCTGGGTGGCTCAGGCTAAGCCGGCTGAAACTAAACCCAGCGAAGACGAAGGACCTGTGCCTGAGTCGGAGCGGACCGGGGTTGGGGCGCCCTCTCCCGACCTTCGATGGGGCGCCGTTGGTGCCAGCGTCAGAGGTTAGGAGTTTGGGAGTGCTCCTGGACCCCTCCTTAACTATGGAGGCCCAGGTGGCAGCCACTGCCAGATCAGCATTTTATCATCTTAGGCTGATTCGGCAGTTGGTTCCCTTCCTCGGCCGCGATGACCTGGCTACAGTGATCCATGCAACAGTCACCTCAAAGTTAGACTACTGTAACGCTCTCTACATGGGGCTGCCTTTGGGGCGGATCCAGAAGCTGCAGCTAGTGCAGAATGCGGCGGCCAGGCTGATGATGGGCCTCCCCAAGTGGGAGCACATCCAGCCTGGACTGAAAGCGCTGCACTGGCTGCCAATAGCATACTGAATCCGCTGTACTTACCTTTAAAGCCCTACATGGCCAGGGTCCGACTTACCTGAGGGACCGCCTTTCCCCACATATACCCCCAAGAGCACTTCGGTCCAAGGCACAACATTGCCTGGTGATTCCAGGCCCCCAGGAGGCAAGGCTTGCCATGACTAGGGCCAGATCCTTTTCAGTGGTGGCCCCTACCTGGTGGAACGAGCTCCCGGAGGAGATCAGGGCCCTGCGGGACCTTATGCAGTCCCGCAGGGCCTGTAAGACGGAGCTCTTCCGCCAGCTTTCAAATAGGGGCCGCAACTACCACCGCTACCAATGTGGTGGACATCATCGGGATTAAGGATGGGCCGGGAAGATCCGCCACAATTTCTGTGTGACTGATACCACTGGATTTACCTGGTTGGGATAGGCTATAGGTTAACATCATCCCTGGAGAACTGTCTGTTTACCATCTGGCATGTATCCGGAGACC